CTTTGCTGCATGCTTTGCCTCGTAACGAACTTGTATAACGTTTGCAGGCGCTTACGCGCAGCATGCCAAAACCGTCGATAGGCTCCTGAGCTAACTCTGCGCTAACTCATGTTACACAGCCTCTGCATCCCTGCCCCCATCATATCGCGTATGATGGCGCAGCTGAACACACACAGCCGAGGTGACCCCACAGCCTCTGATGCTGCTCTGTGCGTACACCAAACGAATTGCTAGCTGACTGTGAAAGTAGTAGTGGTTCTATGCAGCTACCTATACACGGGCAGTATAGGCCTGTGCGTACGGAGCGCCGATAGAGAGAATGTATAGCCTCATGCATGCGGACCAACTGACAGCAAAAACTTTAATTTAATTTAATTTAATTTAATTTATCTTTACTCACGCCGTCGCTGCAGCGCACCCCACACATACACATCTCCCCCAGCAGGGGACCCAGCTGGAGTGTATATATAGACCCCCCGGCACGAGCCGTTGATATTTCGCTTAAAAAAAAACTAAAATTATATTTAAAATTCTCCAGCTATAAAAGCAATAAAACTCGCAGCTGTTTATGAAGGCCCCCAGCAGCGGCAGCAGAGATGAGGTGGAGGACGGGGTTGCGGTGTACGTACAGCTGAGCGGGACAAGTGGAGAGGTTGCTGGGGTTTATTGGTGTTTATATATATATTTATTTCTTACAAATTCTTTTTTATTTTTTAATATTTCGTTGTTTTATAAAGCAGTGTTCAGCAGCTGGCGCAGGGGGCGTGGCCCTATCTGCTGCTGCAGCGTCTCGCTCTTCTGCGTTTTTTTTTTTCGGTTGTTTACCATCAAGCAAGTACATTAGAACCCCTTATAAGGTTTCTCAATACTCCAGAAGCAGCTGAGACCAATGGTTAACCACTGGCTTACGCAGGCGCAGACGGGGGCCCTGGTGGCCCGGGAAGAAGACGGAGCGGAGCTGGCTGCTGCTAGCAGCAGCAGCAGCGGCAGCAGGCGCAGCAGCAGCAGCAGCAGCAGCAGCAATACCAAGAATAAAACAACCCCACCTGTTGCTGCAGCTTTGCTCTCACTCAAGTGGCGTCAGCACCCTTCGTTGCTGCTTTGTCTTTCTCTGTCTTGTCTCCTTTTTCTTTCCTTCTTCCCCTTTACACTTGCAGCTAGCGATAGCCTGCAGCAGCAGCAGCAGCAGCAGCAGCAGCAGCAGGTGTTGCAGAAGCAGCTGAACGAGCAGCAGCAGCAGCACGAGCAGCAGCAGCAGGAGCAGTTGCGGCTGGCGGCAGAGCAGCAGAGGTACGTGGATCAGGTGCAGCTTCAGCTGCAGGAGCTGCAGCGGCAGCAGCAGCATCTGCTGCTGCTGCAGAAGGAGAGGCTCAGCGACCTGCATAAACAGCAGCAGCTGCAGCAGGCGATTGAGCAGCAGCTGCAGCACCACCGCCAGCACCTTGCCTGGCTGGAGCTGCACCTGAGTCTGTTGCCGGTGGAGCAGCAGCAGAAGCTGCAGCTGCAGCTGCAGCAGCTGCAGCTGCAGCTGGAATACCTGCAACAGCAGCAGCAGCAGCAACAGCAGCA